CTCTCTCTCTCTCTCTCTCTCTCTCTCTCTCTCTCTCTCTCTCTCTCTCTCTCTCTCTCAGCATTTGTCAGATGAGCAGGTGGGCTCACTGAGTGCAGGGTAGTCCTCACCCACAGACTCTTGTTGAGCAGATCCGAGGCAGGGCTGTGGAGTTTCAGCTCTGACAAGTGCCCAGTGTGGCCTCAGCACTCTTAGAAAATCGCTAAAGTAGAGAGTGTCTGTCTGTCTGTCTGTCTGTCTCTGTATGTCTGTCTTTGTGTGTGTGTTTGTATGTATGTATGCCTTTGTGTGTGTCCCTTTGCATGTCTCTGTGTATATGTCTGGCTTTGTGTATGTCTGTCTTGTGTGTGTCTGTCTGTCTGTCTTTGTGTGTGTGTGTGTCTGTCTTTGTGTGTGTCCTTTTGGATGTCTGTGTGTGTCTGTCTGCTTTTGTGTGTGTGTCTTTGTATGTGTGTCTGTCTGTTATTGTGTGTGTCCCTTTGCGTGTCTCTATATGTATGTGTCTGTCTTTGGGTGTCTGTATGTGTGTGTGTGTGTGTGTGTGTGTGTGCATGTGTACATACACACACAATGTGCTCATAGTTAAAGATAGTCAGATCCACAAGACAGTAAGCTGCCATAGTGAGTCAGGACATCAGACAAGCATTTACCAACATGTTTGGATACCAAGGAGCTGGAATTACTGGATAAAAAATACAAAATAAAACTCATAAAGATATGAAAAATAACACCACAAATAGAAATAATGAAAGAGTTCAAAATGGCCAGGCAGATTTAAAGAACTCTTGCAGGTAGCGTAGAGATGAAAGCTGATGGGTGAAGCAGCTCGGGCTGAGCTAAACAGCAAGTGAGAGGCAGCTGAAAAGCGTTCATGAACTGGGAATGGATCTGAAAGCATTTGTTCTCACACCCCACTCATTCAAACTGCCAAGAAACATACCTACTGTGTGCTGGAAGATGGGCCAGACCTTGATACCTAAAGACACCCCCAATCTTGAGAGGAAACCAGACGGACATACATTCTAAATACACAGCAGAGTGGCCCAGTGCCTGTTACCTTCTCCACCGAAATCCACAGGGGTACAAAAGAAGGGGCAGCCAGCTCTGTCTCAGGCACCAGGAAAAGCTGCTATAGGGTGAGGCCTGATGTAGTTAAGATGAAATCTCGACCCCTCCCCAAACCCACCAGGCCCTAGAGGCTCTGTCATTGTCTACCTTCCTAACAGGCCTTACTGTACGGTGCTGACATGGGCCATCCATAGTCTCAGGAATCCTGCGTCTTGTTCTGTATAACAAGCTTGTAGCCACTGAACCCCTGAGATGCAGCCGGGCCAGACTCGGCTCTGCTGAGTGTGTAATGTAACTAAGCTTTGATGATGACAACAGATCTGATTAGTGATGCCTTTATACTAAGGCACTTTATATTATGTTGGTAATATTTTGTAAAAATTTTCCCTATTTTACATTTGTTATTGGGGGGGTGCTCAAGTGCCATTGCATGACAGTGGAGTTCAGGGGTCAGCTAGTAGGAGCCAGTTCTCTCCTTCCATCTGTGGCTCCCAGAGGCCTGATAAAGGTGTGACAGTGGGCACGTTTGCCAGCTGTTAGAAACGGTTTCAGTGTTCATGAGACTTGCCGTCCACTTGAGTGGGACAGTGGTTCTGCAGACTGTCTGTACATCTCGTGCCTTTGTGTTCGCCGCCCGCCTTTTGCTTCTCCCCTGCTCTGTCTGGCAGGCTTCTGTTCCGTCAGATATCAGTTTAAAGGTCATCTCCTCAGGGACATCTCTTTGAACACTCTATCCCAGTAGGTCTCAGCCATTCTTTTCTAGTTCGGTATCTCGTGTTCCTGCTTAGCACACACTGCAGGTGATTGTCCCGTGTTTCCTACGCACTGTTGGAGCCTGGAGCCTCACAGGCTTTTCCTCGCCATCTTCATCTCCCAGCTTGTCCACACCTGGCACCTAGTGTTCGGTCCCTATGGGTTGAGGGGAAGCACCCTCCAGTCAGCATGACCTGCTGAGGACCTTTCTCTTGCCCATCCCTGGCCAGGCAGTGGAGCGGCTCCTCCATCCCCAGCTCTGTGAGCTGAGCATTGAGACGCTAGAGCGACACGTGGTTCAAGCTGTCAACTCCAGCCCTGAGCGGGGTGGTGAGGAGGTCCTGCACGCCTTCCTGCTTGTACACTGCAAGCTGCTGGCTTTCTACTCCAGGTAAACCTGAGGGCCTGACCTCAACCAAAGATCTTCCAGACTCTTAACTGCAGTGAAGCCCTCCCAGATGCCTGTCTCACCCCTTGGCCTTCTCCCTTCTCTGGAAATGGTTGTAAACAACACTTGAAGTCTGTCGCTGGCCCCTAGAGCCTTCCTAATGATAACTTTTGCTTTATATGCAATTTTGATTTTAAAAATCGGTAGGCTAATCTTCCTTAGACCTTGTATATCTCCAGCAAGATTTAAGTTGCGTGTTCACACACCACTCTGCCCTGTGTCTATAGCCATGGTGCGAGCACCCTGCGCCCCGCAGATCTCCTGGCTCTCATCCTTCTGGTTCAGGACCTCCAGCCCTCCCAAGGCAACACAGAGGAGGAGGAGGATGACAGCGACAGCCCTCAGGTCTCGCAGCATAAGGGGGGGCATTTGTCTCCCTACTCTAAGATGGAAGAACTCTGGAACGGGTGGTCTGGAGGGTTGTGCAGATCCAGAGAGTTGGCGCTGGTTTGAAACTCATGTCAAGGCCGAGCATGTTGTCAGCCTTGACACATGATCATGTCACCAGTGGTGCCAGGCTGTACAGGTACAGCCTGTCAGATACCAACATGTCAGACTTGCTAGGACTGGAGCACTGGACAGCTGGAGGGCCATGTCCCCAGGCCAGGGTAGAGAGGAAGGCTTCTGTGAAGAACTGGGAGATGGGGCTGTGGGAAGAGCCAAGTCAGCCTCACTGACTGCATCTCTCTGGCTTTCTCACAGCCTTTCCCCCAGAGGAGACCCCTGAGCAGCCAAAACATTCCCGTCCAGCAGGCAAGGAGCCAGAGCACCTCAGCTCCCACCAGGAGTTCCGAGGAGACTGTACGTGCTGGGTCCTGAGAGGAAAGAGGGCAGCCCCATCTTGCCTCAGGCCAGGCCAGACCTTTCCAACTTTCCCAGGAGAGCAGGTCTGGCTGAACCTGTTGGGAGAGGCTGCCTGGCCTATGACCACCATCCAATGTGATGTCTTCTTTTGCAGGACGCAGACAGCATCTCCCTCCCTGAAGAGTACTTCACCCCTGCTCCTTCCCCAGGCGAGCAGAGTTCAGGTGACACCTGTGGAGCGGGTGGGTGGCATCATGGGGCAGAAGCCAGTCTGCAGCCTAGAGAGTACGTCTTGTACTTATTGTGTCTTATTCCTTGTGAGGGACTGAGCAAGTCACTTAGACTGCTGTAAATCAGCGCTGTTGGCAGTCCTCCCTGTCAGCCCCAGCTTGAATTCAAACCCCGCTAAGGTTGCTGGAGAAATGGCTCAGCAGTTAAGAGCATACTGGCTGTTCTTCCAGAGGACCCAGGTTTAATTCCTAGCGCTCACATGGCGGCTCACAACTGTCTGTAACTGCAGTTCCAAGTAATCTGACACCTCACACAGACATACATGCAGGCAAAACACTAATGCACATAAGATAAAAATAAACAAATCTTAAAAAAAAAAAGCATTGTGCAAATAGTATCACCAGAGCGCTGTATGCTTTTATACAACTGCATATATGTGTTCTCTCTGCCTCTGTAGTCATTAAATTAATAGTTAAGTTAGCAACTAAAATTAAGCAATAGTCCACTTGACTTCAAGCCCATTTTAGATTATAAATATTCAGTTACAGAGTTTTTTTTTTTAAACCTTACCTGTTTTTCCAAGATCTGTGGGTAAGTAGTAAAAACTCACTGTTAACACTGTTAATGTTCAATTTGCCATTTGAACACAGAGCATTGCTTAGAGGGGTAGATAAGCTAAAAATCCAGCTTGTCATCAGCCACAGGAAAGGACCAAGATCTTAAGATAAAAGGAGGGAGCCTGTGGCTCACCCACCTAACCAGAGACTGGCTTTGTAGAAGGGACAATTAGGAACTATTTTTAAATGAGTTTCTGTGAGGCTTCCCTAGATGAGTGGCTCTGAGCCCTGGCTGCACTCAGCACAACTGAGTCAGTCCTCAGACCCGGGGCCACGGGGCCTTTCGGTGTGCACTGAGCCCCACCTGCAGCTGGACTCCCTTGAGGAGCTCAGAGTGACTCAATTAAGCCGAGCTGAGATGGGAATGGCAGGATATCTTTCCTACAGAGGGCCCCAAATGGTTTTCACATATGGCTCAAGTTGAACACACTGAGTTAGGTGTTCTTAGGAACCTTAGTTAGGTCTGGACTGGGCTTTGGGGTACCTGGGAGACCCAGAGATTACAGACTGATTTTTATGTTTGGACTTCTTTCAGGGGGGAGGGCTCATAGCCTCCTTCATTTTCTAAATGCCCCACCCCCAAGGCATAACTGCAAGCGTTGCATGGTCATGGCCTCCATTACACCCCCACCTTACAATTCCTTCCCTGTCTGTCACCACCCTCCTCTCTCTGGGTGGCTAAGTTTGTATTCCTCAGAGCTGTGCATAATAGAGGAAACTCCCAGCTTACAAATGGAGCAAGTGCGTTCCTAGGTTTCAGACACCTGATTTACAAATGGATGACTGCAGTGCAAGTCGTTTGTAAACCGAGAGTCCGCACAGGCCAGAGCAGTCTACACAGCTCTGAAGCTTCCAAACCTAGCCACCCAGAGAGGAGAGGCTGCTTACAAATGAGGGCTATTTGCAGTGAACTGCAAGAAAGGATAATATTACAAACATGTAATATTTCAAATACATAGTGGCTTCAATAGGCTGGTGAGCCGGATAGGAGGGAGGTCAGGCTCAATTCCCTGCACACAGTAGCTCAGCAAGCTCGATATCTGAAGAACTGAATGGGGAAACACTGAGTCCCTGTGCAGGGGGAGAAACAAGGAGGGGGCTGGAGGGGAAAGGGAGGGTCTGAGGAACTTGTCCCACCCTGTGGCCAGATGCCTGCTGCGGGCTCAGTTCCCAGCCGGAAGCTTCTGTCCAGGCTGCTTTAACCCTGGAAATTCAGAGTTCAGCTGGCACTGGGTAGCTCTGAGGGGATGGTTTTCAGGCTCTGTGGCCACAGGAAAATGCCCTTGCCGTGCCCAGTGCTCAGGGCTAAATGGCCAGAGCTTTCTGTGATCTAGAGCCCCTGAGCTGCAGGAGTGGGGGATGGGCCGTGGGCTGTTTCCACAGTTCTCTCCTCACTCGTGGCAGGTAGCCTCGTCTGGCTGGATGGCACCCCGCCCAGCAATGTTCTCCGGGTGAGTCTCCTGTGTGTGTCCTTCTGGGCCAGTAGCCACAGCTGCACCACGGCCTCCAGCTGTGGAAGCAGGGATGGGGGAGCAGCGAAGGCAACCTTCCCCAAGTTCATGGAAATGAGCATCCAATTTAAGTTTTAATATTAAAAAATTAAAGTTTAAATATATTTCTTAAATTTAGATATGAGAAATAACAAAAGTCAAATGTGGAAGGGACTCTTACTAGGACACCCTCTGAAGATGGAATATGTTCTAGGCACTTCCTTCTAGTCATTTCTTATTTTGTACAGAGACACACACACATTCATATACACAGATGCACACTCACATGCACACTCACATATGCACACTCACATATGCACACTCACATACATGCACACTCACACACTCATCCACATGCACACATATGCACACTCACACACATGCACACACGTGCACACTCATGCACGTGCATACTCACACACATGCACACTCATGTACATGTGCACACGCACACTCACATGCACGCACACTCACATGCGTACTCACATACTCTGCATGAACGTGTATGCATACTGTATGCATTTTCCTTTTTCATACTTAGAGCCATTGTCCTTTTTACTGGTGTTCTCCTGTCTACACAGAGCCCTTCGGCATTACGTCAGCATTCCGTGAGGGGGTTTCTAGAGCCCATCCATGCACATGCTATATTTACTCAGGAAGTCCCAGAACAATGAGCAAATGGTTCTCCACTTGTTACTGTTGTGTATAACTGGAGTGACCTCCTTCAGAGAGATTTCTGGGGTATCACTAATGACTTATTTAATTCTCTAACTTTTTCCACCAAAAGATTTCTTATGCATGCAGAGCCCCCACCCCAGGCTGGAGGCCCATTCATATAGTCATCTTAAGCCTCAGTTTCCCCAGTGTAGAGAGCCATTGGGGTGTTCCGAGGGCGACTGACATGTCAGGCATTTTAGGTTCTTTCCTTTACCTCAAGGCAGAGTGTACCGATACAGCTGGCTCTGTACCTCTTCAGCTGTTCCTTGACCACCCACCCAGTTCCCGTACCCCCTCCCACTGCCCATCATGGTGTCCTGTCCTGATTGGACAGAACAGCCCAGCAGAAGCTGAGAGACAGACAGAGGAGAATGGGAGCTACTCTTGCCTACATCATGGCTTTCTAAGCAAGCCTGTTTCCTGTCTGAAGCACTGCCCTAGCAAGGGCAGCTCCAGCACAGAGACCTCAGGGCTGGGTTTTACGGGAGCTGTAGGTTGGGCAGGGAACGGAAGCCAAGGTGTGTGGCTCTAAGTGTGGATGAGTCTGGGCCTTTCTTCCTCTCCTCCCCACCAGACTGACAGATCTTCCTCCCCACAGGTGGCTGAGGATACCCCCGAGGGGCAGGCGCCATATTCCCCAGAACTTCCCAGCCCCAGAAGGATCTTCCTGGATGCCAACATAAAAGAAAACTACTGTCCCTTAGTGCCGCACACCATGTACTGCCTGCCCCTGTGGCCAGGCATCAACATGGTGCTGCTGACCAAGGTACGGAGCCCCAGCCCACCCTAGAGCTTCGGGGGCCTCGCTGCTCACCCCCTTTCACCTGGCATCCACTCTTCCTGGCAGAGTACCAGCACCTCATTGGCTCTGATCCTGTACCAGCTGCTGGATGGCTTCTCTCTACTGGAAAAAAAGCTGAAGGAAGGTCAGGAGGCCGGAAGTGCCCTGCGGTCCCAGCCCTTTGTTGGAGACCTGCGCCAGAAGATGGATAAATTTATCAAGAATCGAGTTTGGCAGGAGATGCAGGACAAGTTTATCAAGAATCGAGTTGGGCAGGAAATTCAGGTAGGACACTGAGGCTGCGTGCACCAGCTTTGGAGGAGAGGCAGAGCTGACAGTGGGCCAGGTCATCCTGGGTAGATGAGGGGCTCGCTCTGGTTCTTGTCTGTGTTTCCCTCAGTCTATAGTCCTAGTTGTTCTTATGAAAGGATAAAAACCAAACAGTTGTACTTGACAGTTTTTTAGAACCTTTTTATAGGAATTTGGCAGTACTCAAATTGTAATTCTAGTGCTTTAGTCAGGAAACAGGCTTGGTTCGATAGCCATGGCGTAGCCAAGGGTAGCCCTCCCATAAGCAGCACACTCGTAAGCCAGAAATCACAGGGCACTGTCCCTGCCGGGCTCATGGAGAGAAGGGCTGGGTGGAGACTGAGACCAAGCACCAAGCAGTATAGGAAGTCAGTGACAAGGCCATCACAGGCACCAGTCACAGTCCACCTCAGGGGGAGGGGATTCTAGAGAAGAAGAGTTCACTGATAGACTTTGGGGCCTCTGCTGTAGCTGAGACTGTCTGAGGAGCTGGTGTTCATTGGGGCTAGAATGTGTGGTAGTCTGAAAGGGGCAGAGGGATTAGGGGAGAAAGAACAAGCAACCAGAGCCTCGGCTTGTCAGGCGACAGCACAGGGTCGTAAGGTGCCCTGGGTATCATGTTGGCACACCTGTTAGAATGCTGGCTTCTCACTTAGGGGACAGTCATCCAAGACCCCCTTGAGGCTACCCCACCCCATCCACAGGTCACCTGCAGCAGCCATTTCTTTTCAGACCCCAACTGGTTCTTTGCGGTCCCTTGAGGGACTCACCTGGCCCCTCTGATGGCATTACAGTACATGTCTGTGCCCACCGAGGCCACATGACCTTCACCTGGCCCACAGAAATTGCTGTTTACATCATGCCCTGCTAAGTGACTGAGGCAGTGCCTGAGTGTCAGGATGTAGGATGGAGTCACCCCTGGACCGCCCTGCAGAGCACAGCCCAGAACAGACCTGTTACCCTTCTCCTTTACAGAACGCCTGGCTGGAATTTAAGAGCAAAGCCTTTTCTAAAAGTGAACCAGGAGCATCCTGGGAGTGAGTAGCTGTCCTTGGGGTGAAGGGGAGTTGTTCAGAGAGGGTTGCTGCAGGGTCTCCCCAGGCCCCGGGGGAGATAAGCTCGAGGATTTAACAATGACAGAGGGGGAGTCCCAGGGAGCTGGGGACGAAACCATAGGAAGTTGGAGGGGACATGGACCTAGCACCAGGCACGTAGGCCAAGTAAGTGCCACCTAAGGAAGCCACCACTTATTAACAGAAGTGATTCAAGGAGATGCTGTGTGGCAGAGGACACCAGGGAAAGACGAGCAGCTGCCTCCCTGTGTGGTGGGGGTAGGTGGCCATGGGCTCTGTGTGTCCTTTCCTGTGTATCACTGCCCAGGCTGCTCCAAGTCTGTGGAAAGCTGAAGCAACATCTGTGTATCATCTACCGGCTCAGCTTCCTGGCCACTGCACCCAGCAGGGGAGGACCACACCTGCCCCAGCACCTACAGGACCAAGCCCAGAAACTCATGAAGTAAGGGTACTTCATGCTTGAGGGAGCAGGAGGTGGGCAGGGCTCGTGCACAGCAGCCTAGCTTCCAGTTTCCCACCCTCCCCAGGGAGCGACTTCTGGACTGGAAGGACTTCCTGTTGGTGAAGAGCCAGAGAAATGTCACCATGGTATCATATCCTCTGCCTGCCTCAGCCAGAGGCTAGACATGTGTGTCCCACCATGGTGTCCCACGGAGCCATCTATAGGAATAGCCCACGGCTGCACTTCAGAATTCCTGCTGCTCCAGGGTTATCTTAGAAATCTTCTAGGACCTCTATGTCCGTGATTTCCATCCATCCAATGGTGATCCTTTTCCAGAGGGGTCAGGATGCTTGCTGTCATCAATGTGTCATCCTCCATGGATGGTCACAGCGTAGTGACAAGGGCACTGAGAAGGCCCACCACACACAATCTGTGCATTGTAGAAACTAGTTTGTTTAATGCTGATTTTTCTGGGGAGGTTAGCACAGCTTTTCTTGTTTAAAATCTCCCATGTTTCTGGACACAGTCTCGTGGGACTTCGGTCCTAAGCAGGTAGCTGAGCAGGAAGCCGCAAGACCTCTTACCCATAAGCCACTGCCCATCCATGCCCTTCCCCTCTCATAGATGCTTTCAGTCTCTCAGGCGAAGAAGAGCCGGAGCACGATGAGGGTGGGCAGTCAGCCAAGCCTACTCATCAGCTGAGTGTCTGTTCACACACCAGCCTCGAGGTGTATGTTTAAATTAACTCCTGAAATGACCAGCTGTGACCATGGCTTCCTTCCCATAGAGTGCAGAACCGCCTACATTAAACATGAGGTAGCAAGGATCTTAAGTGGGAGTGAGGAGCTAGGGGAGATGAGGTCTCTAGGGCTTAGTGGAGGCAGAAGCTTGTGTAGACAGCAGCCTGGTCTTCCAAATCTCACCTCTGGACAGCCAGAACCCCATGACCAGGGCAGAGGCACCCCCACTATCCCCCACTGTCTCTGGTTTTTAAGCTCCTTGACTCAGGCCTTCACCTACCTGGAGGATTTCCCAGGCTTGGTCCACTTTATCTATGTGGACCGTACAACCGGGCAAATGGTGGCTCCTTCTCTCAGCCCCAATGAAAAGATGTCTTCCGAGTTGGGCAAGGGACCCCTGGCTGCCTTCGTCAAAGCCAAGGTAACTGTTCCTCTGGCCCCGGGTGCCCTTTGCTGCTTGTCAGAGGAGGATACACTGAGGCCTGACCCCCACCACGACCCAGGAGAAACAGGCCATTCTGGTCTCTGAGGCACTTAACACTTCCAGTGAAACCCTGCCATGCCTGTCCGCCACTGCCTGTGTGCCTAGTTAACCGGCTCAGTGGCTTATCCTCTAGACCCAGTGGGGCCCGGTATACTGGCAGCCCCTCCTGGTGTCCTTCAGTGTGCCTGGCATCCCCAGAGCGCTGGCACCGGGTCAGAGCCCAGCGTGAGTGAATGTACAGTAAGTATCTGCTGAGTCGGCTAAACTGGAAAGAACCTCAGGGGTCAAACAATTTGGGCATCAGAATTTGATTTCTTTAATTTTTGCCTTGCTAGGTATGGAGCCCAAGGACTCATGTACTGAGACAGCACTCTGCGCCTGAACTACTCCCACACCCCAGCCAAGTGTAACGGGTGGTTTCTACTCAGGAAGCATCTTTCTCTGTTCTTTGGATTTAATGACTCTTCTTCATGGCAGACTCGTAGTTATTGAAGGAAAGACTCTGCCATTTCTAAAATGCTATATTTTTATGTTGTCTGTATAAAGTATATCATGATAGGTAAGCAAGGTGGTGGTGAGAGGCCAGAGCTGCAAAGCCCTCTTGGTCCGGCTGTGTGACATTGACGTGGTTCAGTTACATCTCGGTTCTGCTTTAGTTCAAATGTCCATTATGGAGATGGTGCTGTTTACCACATAGCGTTAGCATAAAGAGTACAGGTCACTAAGCACACATGAACTCACAGAACTGAGACAGACAGAGCAGGGCGCAAGCATGCTGTGCACAGCATGGCTGCCTTCCCCACCTACCACGTTACCCCTGCACCCTGCTCTGGGGCGGTGGGTGGGGACTCTAGCCCATCGCTCTTCGCTCTTCGTTGCCTTCCTCCCCAGTGTTGCCCACTCTTCATGCACTGGGCTGTGTGACACATCCTCACTTCACAGCGTGTCAGGTGCCTCTCTTCCTGCTGTTAACTCTTTACATGCCTTGCCTGTAGCAACCCCATGATGCAGGTGTAGCAGAATTCACTCAAGCCATTCCCCCTACTGAATGAGCTTTTAGATTGTCTCCAGACTGTCACAGTTATAACTGGTTGTGGACACACCTGTGCATACACCTAAGTCCCCATCCCTGGTCAGATGGGAGGGCTATTGTTGAAGTTACCTATTTGTGTGGCCAGGTTACATTCCTGGAGCTTGTAATTGATTCCCGTGTCTGTTGCGGATTTAATTAGATAGTATATTCTGTCAAGTGCAGAGTAAAGACTCCACCCTTCCACTGAGGCTTCTGAGAGTGGGTCATTTCCCAGCCCTGCACCAAGTAGGGAAGCCTAGTAGAGGAGACCACCTTTCAGGCTGCTCTTAGGCAGCGTAGGTACCAGCACCTGCTTTAGGCAGAGCATTCCCAGGGCAGGAATGTCCCTCAGGGCCACTGTTCCCAGGCACCATATAGTGAGCCTATGTTTGGGCCTGACCCTTAAGCAGGAGATGCCACAGCTTAGGGCTCACTGTGTGCTTTGATGCTTCCCAGGGCCTCCAGCACAGAGCTGGTACCATTTTCTCCCAGCCTTACAGACCTGGGCACTTGGGTTTATTCACAGTCTTCTTGGCTGTTTTCTGGTCTCAATGAGCAGTTTGCCATGGGTTGTGTGTAGTAAAGTTACATGAAGCACTTCCACATGTATTTTATCCCCATGGCAATTGGAGGGGGAGCCTTCTCAACTTCCACCCTGTAACGGCTCATTCCTACAACTCTGACCCAGACAAAATCCTGCCTCTGAGAAGTCCTGGACTCCCAGGACCTCCACAGCTCTGTGCTGTGCTTTCCTTTACGGAGGTCACAGCCCTTAGAGTGGTACTAAGCAATCTCCCCTCCCCAGGTCTGGGCTCTGGTCCAACTGGCGCGCAGGTACCTGCAGAAGGGCTGCACCACACTGCTGTTCCAGGAAGGGGACTTCCGCTGCTCCTACTTCCTGTGGTTCGAGAATGACATGGTGGGTGTGCCCAATCTCTGGACAGGACGGTCCTGAGAGCTGTCCACTGCTCTAAACCCTTGGATACCTTTCTTCTGCGCTGTTCAATCTGTCTGTCTCATCTCCTCTTGTCCCTGGTGGAGCCACAGGTAAGCACCTGACAGGGGTGTAGGACTGTCCAGGTAGATGTGAGCCAATGGGAGGCACTCCCTAGTCTGAGGAGAAGCCATTGTAGCCGGCTACTATCTCTAGCCATATGACAAAAGTTACACCATGACTCCCACTCTCTGGGAGGACCCAGGTTCAAAGCAGTTAACCAGCCTGTCTGAGGCTTGCCTGCAGCGGGCTCAGCTCCCTCCCTGTCCTGTGTAGTACTGTAGCCCTCACCCCACCACAGAACCACAAGGCCATTGAAACCCATTGTCTCTCCCTTCCCCCATTTTTTTCCTCATCTCCTTAACACTTCCCACTCACTTATGCTAAGTGTCTAAGAGTCCCTCCTCCCTCACCCAGGGTCTCCTGTTCTGTTCCTGTACACTTCCTGGCTCTTGCTCTGTTCTCTCCACTTGCTAAGGGTGTAACAACTCAGCCTTACTATAGTGCGATGTAGTTTCTTCATCTGTCCCTCACAACCTGGGGGAATGGTTGGGATGGGTTCTGTTGACCCATTTTACAGATGGGGACACACTGCTGTCTTGCAAATAAACACCATGGCTGGGTTCACAAAACCCAAACGATGGCACTAGAAACTGAGGTCTGGTGTCCTGATCCTCGTGTCCTGATTCCTAAGTGTCTCTGAGTGCTAGAGCTTCTAAGGACAAGGATCTGGTGACTAGTGTAGCTCCGTGAGGCACTGGAGTGCAGCTCAGCCATGGGAGGCCAAGTTTTGACCACTAACTGTGACATTCAAGCCACACAAGGGTCCCTGAACACTGCTGAGCCATCTCCCTATGGGGTAGGCCCCATGGTGCCACCTGAGCCTCTGGTGGGAGGATCTGTGGTCACTGTCATCGTGCCTGGCACAGTACATAGCTTAACTGATCCTCCTCTCCCACCTTACCCTGCCCTGATAATTCCCATTTCCTCCAAAGCAGAGACTTTGAGTCTTTTGAGAAGCCTTTGTTTCTCAACACACACACACACACACACACACACACACACACACACAAACACACACACTCTTCCTGGGCCTTTGTGAGCACCTCACTAACACAGCCCCACCTGTTGGTAGCAAGAGCTGCAAAGTATGGTCACAGCTGATCACTGGACTATGTTCCAATGTGTAAGGTGGTGGTGGTGGCTCTCTCTACGTCCCAGGCAAGGTAGTAATACAAAAAGCCAGGCCCTGCAAGGGCTCCCAAAAACCCCTCAAATCCCCCCCCACACACACACAATATTCCCTCCCTCCTTCCCGTTCTAAGACTGTCTTCTCCCTCCCACAGGGGTACAAACTGCAGATGATCGAGGTGCCTGTCCTCTCGGATGACTCAGTCCCCATTGGCGTGCTGGGAGGTGACTACTACAGGTGACAATTAATGGCCCTGGAGCCACATGTGCCCGAGGTGTTGGTGGCAAGGCCTCAAGTTGCCATGACAAATAGCCTTTCCAAGAGTGAGCAGCTAGCGATATGATAGCAACCTGGTGGGACTCCGACATGAAGAGAGGAAACATCTTGAAGCACACCCGAGTCCCATCTCCTGTTGCTGGCACAGTCTTGGCTGCATGGGAAGACTTCACTAGGACACACATGCACACACATGCACACACACTCACACTTCTTAGCCAGAACATCAGTAGGACACAACACACACACATGCATGCACACACGCACACCTGTTAGCCAGAACACTGGTCAGAGATTGAGAGCCCCAAGACAGGGACTGTGTCCTGGTGTTGAGCTGGAGCTTAGAGGTCATAGGTAGTGTCACAGCCTGGGCTATTCTGTGAGAACTGTGGGGTGGGCATTTTGAGGCATCTGTGGCGGGAGCCCCCGGCCTTGCCTGAGTCCTGCCCTGTCTCCCGCAGGAAGCTCCTGCGCTTCTACAGCAAGAGCCGCCCCTCGGAACCTGTCAGGTGCTATGAGCTGCTCACGTTGCATCTGTCTGTCGTCCCCACTGACCTCCTGGTGCAGCAGGCCAGCCAGCTGGCCCGGCGCCTGGGGGAGGCCTCACGGGTGACCCTGCCCTAGGCCGGCTTGCTTGCAGGCATTCCCCACAGCTAGGCTTCTTCCAGCCCCCTCTCTCACACCCCACTGTTGACTCCTCCACACAGGCTAGTGAGCAGCCTTCTCTGAAGGGAGGGGATGCCATGTTTCTGTTGCCCCCAGAGCTGTGTGGTCAGAGATGGCAGCAGCTACCCTGGAAAGCTGCCCCTCTGGGTGCCCAGGAGAGCAGCAGAAGTCTTAGTACTCGGGCTGTGTGAAGTTACCCACTTCCTACCGGTCTGTGTAGGGTAGCTGTTTCCTACCCAAATGGAAAGTGGTCTGCTCCCTCCAGCTTGCCCCCTTGCAACTGGGTGAGTCGTGTTTCCTCACATTTGAACTGACAACACCTACCTCTCAGGGTGGTCAGGAGGATTGCTGAATGTGCTCAGGTGCTCAATAAATGTTGGCTCTTGTCATTATCCAAGCCTGTTCCTGGCCTTTCCTGTGACACTGAGAGTCCCTTGCCTCCTTAATACCATGATTTGAAAAGGCTGAAAAAAAACATCGTGTGTGTGTGTGT